AGATCCTCCTGCCCCTCATCAACCAGTACTTCCACAACCACTGCCTCTACTTCCTCTCCACCCCCGCCAAAGTGCTGGGCAGCGGCGGCCACGCATCCAACAAGGAGAAGGAGATGATCACCAGGTGGGGAAGCGTGGGACCCCCATGTGTGGGGCGCCCTTCCACCCCACTGCTCCCCACCGTCCCCTGGATGGGGGGGGGGGGGGGGATTTTGGGGTCTCTCCCCCATTTTCGGGGGGCTCCCCGTTCACCCCCTTCCTTTATTTCAGCCTGTTCTGCAAGCTGGCCGCGCTCGTCCGCCACCGCGTCACCCTCTTTGGTAAGGGGGCAGTGGGGACGTGGGGGGGACAGCGGGGGTCCCCACTGATGTCACCTCACCCCATTGGTGTCATCTCACCCCATTCCTGTCCCCTCCCCCAGGCACCGACGCGCCGGCCGTGGTCAACTGCCTCCACATCCTGGCACGGTCGCTGGACGCCAGGTGGGACGGGGACCTGGGGACGGCGGTGGTCTTTGTCACCCCATTGTCACCCCAATGTCACCCCAATGTCACCCCAGTGTCACCCCAGTGTCATTGGCCAAGGTCACCCCAGTGCCACCTCATTGGCACCCAAAGATGGTGGCCATGGTCACCCCAATGCCACCCCAATACGACCCCAAGGTGGTGGCCATGGTCACCCCAGTGTCACCCCATGGTGGTGGCCATGCTCACCCCGATGCCACCCCACTGCCATCCCATGGTGGTGGCCATGTTCACCCCAGTGCCACCCCAGTGCCATCCCATGGTGGTGGCCATGGTCACCCCAGTGTCACCCCAGTGCCACCCCAATATGGTGGCCATGGTCACCCCAATGCCACCCCAATACGACCCCAAGATGGTGGCCATGGTCACCCCAATGCCACCCCAATGCCACCCCAAGGTGGTGGCCATCATCACCCCAATGCCACCCCATGGTGATGGCCATGGTCACCCCAGTGCCACGCCAATGCCACTCTAAGTTGGTGACCTTGGTCACCCCGATGCCACCCCATGGTGATGGCCATGCTCACCCCGATGCCACCCCATGTTGGTGGCCATGGTCACCCCAGTGCCACCCCATGGTGATGTCCGTGCTCACCCCGATGCTGCCCCGATACCACCCCATGTTGGTGGCCATGCTCACCCCGATGCCACCCCATATTAGTGGCCATGGTCACCCCACTGCCACCCCATGGTGGTGGCCATGGTCACCCCAATTCCACCCCAATGCCACCCCATGTTGGTGGCCATGCTCACCCCGATGCCAGCCCATGTTGGTGGCCGTGCCAACCCCCATCATCCCACAGGACAGTGATGAAGTCCGGCCCCGAGATCGTGAAGGCCGGGCTGCGCTCCTTCTTCGAGAGCGCTTCGGAGGACATCGAGAAGATGGTGGAGAACCTGAAGCTGGGCAAGGTGACGCAGAGCCGCACGCAGGTGAAGGGGGTGGCCCAGAACATCAACTACACCACCGTGGCTCTGCTGCCCGTCCTCACCTCGCTCTTCGAGCACATCGCCCAGCACCAGTTTGGGGACGACGTCATCCGTGAGCGCACGCCGGGGGGCACGGGGGGCACCGGGGGCACCGGGGGCACGGGGACGTCGGGGGCACGGGGATGGATGGGGGGTCACGAGGGGCAGGGGGATG